GTCGTAATTAGTCTCACGTAGATGCGCACCTAGCAGATCAATATCATTCCTTATTGTAATAAAATAAACATTTTTCTATGTACATATGAGGGGGGTCTATAATTATGACAACCCCTGTACATTACCTTTATTCTATTATGCTATCATGCTACGGATAAGGTTGAAAGAAAAAAAGAAACAGTGCAATTTGTGTTCTTTTACATCGCCTAAGGACATATTATATTATTTTTTTTTACAGGAACAAACAACGAAATACGTATGATCAATTTTGAAATATCAAAATAAAAATTTTAAGCAAAATAATTATTAAATTTTATTAAATGAAAAAGAAATAAAAGATGATTGGAAAAAATGAAACAAAGTCAAAAACATCCGGTAAATATTTTTTCTCAAATTTTACTTATTAATTTCCAGCAATTATGTTATTTCTTTGTTCTTAGTACCATTTTGGTGTTCAATGCGCGTCATCATTACCTTTATGAGTTTTCTTGGTATGATTGTACATTTTTCACAAAAAACCAACGTTAGCATTGCTCTTGTCTGTATGGTTAATCATTCAGCTATTGAACACTATGAAAAAAATATTACAAAAAAACATCTTACTGATATAAATCAATATTGTCTTCAAACAAATAAAACAAATCATATCGTAAATTAAGAAAAACAAAATACATAAAATCTTTTAATTAGTCTCTATTTCAGGAAGGACCTTACATTTGGCATAAAAATATTCAAGGCATTATATTATGTTCCTATTTCGGAGGTTATATTATAACTCAAATACCCGGTGGATATTTAGCTGGTCGATATGGTGCTCGATTTCTTTTCAGTGGTGCCATATTTATTTCAAGTTTAGCTACTATGTTTATGCCATTAGCTACTACTGCAAATTGGATTGTATTTAGTATCCTTCAAGTACTTGTTGGACTTGCACATGGTACTATTTGGCCATGTATGGCTGTTATTATGGCTCATTGGGTACCATCAAAGGAACGAGGAAAATTAATGGGTTTTGTAAATGCAGGTAATATGATTTCGTTTGAATTATAAATAAGATTATGTTTTGCTTATAATACAATTATAGGTGCTCAAATCGGAAATGTTCTCACTTTATCAATTGGTGGAGTAATGTGTTCGTGGCGTTTTACTGGTGGTTGGCCATTGATTTTCTATTCTGCAGGTTAGTTTTAAAATTCAATTGATTATATAAACATAAACAGTTCTTTGATAATAATATTTTAAAGGTGCAATTGGTTTCGTTTGGGCTTTATTATGGATTCTAATCTATGTAGATTCACCTCATGATCATACTTATATAAGTGAAATTGAAAAGAAATTTATTCTCGATCATACTCAACAACAGTTAAATAATAAAAGTAATAATGATAATAATCAATTTCACACTCCATGGCGAGCTATTCTAAAATCATCAGCTTGTTGGGCATTATTTATAATTCATACATGCAGTAATTGGGGTACATATACATTTCTAACGTCAATTCCAAAATATATGGATGAAGTTTTAGGATTTGATATTAAATCGGTAAGAATTAAAAGAAGTTCGAAATAAATTGTATTTATTCTTAAAATTTAGAATGGAATTCTTTCTGCTTTACTTTATGCATGTCAATGGTTAAATATAAATATATCAGGTATAATAGCTGATATACTTATCTATAGAAAAATATTGACAATAACACAAACAAGAAAATTATTTAATATATTAGGAAACTTTTTACCGGCTATATTTGTTTTTGGTTTAACTTTTATGACATGTCGATACAAATATACTGCTGTTATTCTTTTAACAATCGGTGTTACATTTACGTAAATCAATTTGAATTTTGATTTTGATAAGAAAATAATTTTTATTCTTTAGTGGATGCTGTTTCGGTGGAGGTTTTCCATTAGTACCAAACGATATAGCTCCTGCTTATGCAGGGATAGTTTTTGGCATCTCCAATACATTTGGAACTATACCGGGTATTATTAGTCCATATGTTGTTGGCGCTCTTACAGAAAAAGTCTGTTTATGTCTGTCGAAATATTTTTCAGAAGATAATTTTTTTTCTTATAAATTAGGATCCAAATAATTGGCCAATTATATTTGTCATATGTACTATTATTTATATTATTGGACTTGTCATATTTTTACTGCTTGGTTCGAGTGAATTGCAACCTTGGGCAATAAAACATATAGAAAATAGTGTTTTATATGATGATTTAATCACAAGTAAGTTTTACAGATTCATAATCGATTTGACATTTATTTATTTATTTATTTATACTAGAACAAAATAATGAAACAACAGAAAAAATAGCGAATCTAGGAAATTGAAATATGTTTCTAGTAAATAAATGGTTCATTTTTTACTTTTTTTAAATGATGAAGAATACGAATCGATCTTACTTATGATTGAACAAATAAAAATAAAACAAGATTTTGTTCTCTTTCATTGAGATTGTATGATTGAGGAAATTAAAATATTGTATTAAATATTCTCAAAAGAGCAAATCATGATCTACATGAGCTTCTTGTATTTAAAGACTTAATTCATGAAAATTCAATATTATTATTCTAATATAGATTTCTGCAATTAATCATTTGATCAATAGCATTTAACAGGCAAATATGAAAGATCGTCATGATAATCTGCATACACCGATACGATCCCTATCTTATTCTCTTGAAATTTAATATTTAATTAACATTTTTTTTAAAGATCAGATTATAAAAAATATTTCGTAACAGCTGTGAAATAATAAATTATTTTGATGAGATTCTTAATTTCTATAAATAATGTTTACTAGTAGTATAAAGCTGCATGAAAGATAAAACTTTTCATTTCCTAATTAATTACTAAGTTTTAAAGAAATACATGAAGATGTTTTGTTTATGTGCATGATTTGATATAATTACGGAAAGAATGATGATTAAGTCTGTCACAAATATAATGGAAAACAACAATTTGAGAAATTTTTTGTAGGTAAAAGTGAATTCTTTAGAGTTTTCTGGTAATGCACGTATTTCTGCTGAAATCAATATGAATATATTCACGTCAACAAATTCAATTATATACATTTCATTCCAAAATTGTATTAATATTCTCTCATGAGTTGTTTAGAAAAAGTTGCTGAAATTCTTATATTCGTGATATTGTGACGACTCTTCTGTAAAAATTTATTGTTTAAAAATATTTTTTTTACTAGTTGTCGTGTGAAAAATCTGACAACAAATGTTCATATATACATATATATACCAGAAAATTTCTGACTGTCTATGTCAATCATTTATTTTCACAAAGATGTAATTAATCTTATAAAATATAACAATCGTAGATGCATATTTTATTTTGACATATATAGAACTGTCATTTACGAAGAGTAGGTATCTATTGTTGAATGATTCATTATTTAAATAAACTGATTATTCTCATTTGCAATGACTCACAGCCTATACAAGTTATCTTAAGCTATTTATTAAAACATTCAGTAAAATTTCGATATGTGAATACAAAGGTTCAGACAATGACGGCCTTCTAGACTTTGATACTAGTCAGCATAATATGTCGTCTGGATACAGTCTTAATAATGATTTAATACTTGCGAGTTTTCCCTTGTTAGCTGTTTCCAAGAATAAATCGATGGTCGATTATATAATTTTGTAGCACAGAAAATTCATGTTTGATAGAATCCCTAGAGTTACTGGATTCTGAAAGAACAATTATTCGATCTTTCTGATAATATGGTGGTGCTTTTCTCAAACAAGGAAATGGTGAAGTATTAAGTCAATTTTATTGAGAGGACTAGCTTCAGAGAAATTGTCATTTATGACTGAAAACATGAATAATGAAAGGAAAGGAATTTAGTTACTTATCAAATGAGAATAATTAGACAGAGAACGAGGCCAAAGTTACGTCTCTTCTCCTTTGTTCATCTGTTTAGATAAACCTTGGATCATGAATTTGATGAAAACTGATGGATGTAGCTGGTCATTAGAAAATGACTGGGAATATTTTCACTTGAAAACGAATACTTCAAAGTAGCAACAACTAAGTATGCAACGGTAACAGTGAAGCGGTGATTTACTGTTATCGTCGTATGCCTAAAAGAAAGACATTTCTGTCTACAAATGCCGAGTGA